CCACTAGATATTATAAGTGGAAAGTAAAACAAAAGTAAATATGTTCATTCCACTCTTGTGATCAGTGATAAATGAAAGGCTATTGAGCCTGACAAAGGTCAACCATGGCCTCATTGCAGCTCGCTGATGCACCAGCGCGTCGCAGGTGCATGTGCCTCCACTCCCACCAACCGGCCACGCGTGGGATCGCCCCGGCCCCGCAGCTCTCGGCACCACCCGGACCTGCTTTATCAAAGGTGCGGAGAAAAAAACAAACATGACGCGTTCAGCCTGCAGAGACCACCAAGAGCCCGCTGCCACGGCCACGAGGCGTCAATCGAGCTGGAGGAAACGATGACTTGTCGGGAGTGCTGCCTGCTAAAAATCCCCCAAATGCGGCAAGAGCACTTCAGAGTCTTGTTCACAGAACCAAGGCATGATTTCACTACACTTATGTTTTTAATAAAATCCATATTGTTAGCCATAGCAGAAAAGGATTTCAGGAAATAGTATAAAGTATTCAGAATAAGCAGAACTGGAACAATGCCTTATATTCTGGACATTTGATTTCATTTCACAACAACATATTAACTACTGTGAGATGCTATGATCAGGATACAAAAAGAAAAGTTATCCATTACTATTACAACAGAAAAGTGGGAAGATGCTGCACTAAACTGGAAAATGCATTACGTGGGGAGGAAAAAACAAAACAAACAAAAAAAAAAAAAAAAAAAAAAAAAACAGGAGAGAGATAGAAATATTCTAGAAGAAGCTAAGACCTAAGAAAACATGCAAGTCAGATAAAACTTTTGGAAGTGGCCAAGAACAAGACCTGTTTAAATCAAAAATGCTTTAATTTTTTCAATCACTTTTATTGTGTGATATTTGACATGGCAGCTCCATTTTTATTTATCAGTCTCAACATCTGCCTAAAACTATGATCTCTGTTACTTGGTTGTGAATTTATATGGTATTTATTTTCCAGCAAATAGCACAGAGCAACTAATAATAGAGAAACTAAAGAAAACAAGTACTGTTATTTACATGTTCTCATTATCTTGGAAGAAGGAAAAAACACTGAAGACATTAAGTAAAGCATTACAAACCCACCATAAATGCCAGGGGCAGCAATGGAAGACAGTAAGATGCACGAGGAGAGGCAGTACAGATGCATTTCAAGGGGATGGCACAACTGCAAAGCTCCAAAGGATGGCACATGTGACACTGAAATCCCAAAAGAGAAATCAGACCTAGCAGAAGCATAACTATCTCCAAACAAAACGCACACCCTGGAAATAGTCAAAGGTGCAAGTGACAGTAATCTACCTGCAAATAACTTAATGGGACATGGATGTCTCATTCTCATTTATGTTCCTAAGAACAGCCCATTTGCAGTTCCTTGTGAATGACAAACCCATGCTTTTGTTGTTGTTTTTCATATGAATTACAGACTTCTCAGATTTGATTAATTCTTCCTGAATTACCAATAACTTCATTTCATCTTCAAAATGAAAAGGACACCATAAAGATAATGCTAGGTATGTACAGAAACAAACAGCAGTCAGAATATGGCTCCATAGTACCATTACTGCAACCTTGTATATATTTGGCTATTCTGGGGGCTCATGTCCTGGCACTTTCCAGAATCTGGACAGGACAAAAAAAAAAAAAAAAAGTTACGTGATGTATTCCAAAGTTCTCAAACCTGTTTCTCTGCCACATTTTAAATTTCAAGCTTAGGGGATATATTGGATATTTCTGGCAACATAGCCAACAAAAGATGTACACAATCATATGCATTCATAATTAAAGTGGAAACAACTAGCAGAGATTCTTGTGAAGTGAAAGAATTCTTCAGTTAAGGGTAATATTCCATAAAATATGAATGGCAAAACTTTAAAGAAGATACACCACAAAAACCTCATTTCCTACCACAGATCTAATTGTAGATGTAAAAATACATCTACAATTAGATGTTCAACCTTATTAAAAAAATAATAATCACTATTTCACTATTTTATCTGGGAAGAAGTAACTCATATCAGGTGTCAGGCTGAATGTTACACTGCATAAAATAGATCACTGACCCCCAGTATTCTTTTGGCAATGAACTTCATTACCTCCACTTTCTTCTCTTCCTCACAACCTGCCTCCTTTACAGCCACCACCTTCCCTTTCCTCCCTCAAATTCACCACACTGCTTCTCACCACTGCCTGATGCTGTCTTCTTGTCTTCCCTCCTTTGTTTTTGACCCCTGCCGCTACCTCCCTCGTCCCACAGCTGCCCAATTTGGCAGTGTCAGCACAGGGCCCAGCCTAATAAGCCTGAAAGAATTTATTAATTTAGGCTTTATGCCATGCCTCAACACTACTGGTGTACCCTGGTAGCAGGGATCCATAACATGGACAGTTTCTACTGTTTAATGCAAAACTCAAATGTTTCAGAATTAAAAACAGAATTGACAATTAAGATATTCTGTAGGTAGACAAAGTTTGGGAATAATTCTCTACATATATAAGACAATTGAAGGTACAACGGCTCCTATTCATCCAAATCATTGATACAATATAAAGCACTGTAATTCCTATGCTGAAGATGTCTTATCTTCATACTGTGTGGGTTTTGTGTAGCTTCCTATTTTAAGGTAAACCTAAATAAAGACTTCTGTACACATGGAAAGCATCACAGTTTCATTGCACATAGAGCCATTCAGGGAAGTCTTGTGTTTTGTGATGCTCAGACAGGCGTGTTCCCCTGCACCCCCAAAGAAATAGAGAATAAAATATTTTTTGAAAAATGCTGTATGGACCAAAAAATTCTTTTTTTTTTTTTTCCTAGACGTGATAAAAGTATAAACCATTAGTAACTTGACACCAGATAGTTAAGCAGCCCATTAATTATCAGTCAGTACTGGCAAACCTGGTAGTGTTTATGTATTTTACATACCTTATTTTGCCAACATCATTTACACTTCATTAGCACTATTAATTCTTAATATCATTTTTGTAATGTAAAAACCACCACTACTGTCTCCACCAAAAAGAAATACTTAAAACAGTATTAATATGATACGATGGAAAATTGCTAAACAATAAAATGGATCCCTAAGAAAATTTGATATAGATTTCCTGTATTTTCCCTGCACTATATTCAACCCCTCTCACAAGGCATACAGAAAAATGGCAATGAAAAGTGAATTTCCTGCTGTTACAGCTACTTTGGATGCTCATGCTTCTGTTCCTGTGGAGACAGCTTGGATCAATTTCAAGAAAATAGCCTTTATCTACACTTTTGCACAGAAAACACATTTTTATTTTGAAGAGATGCAGTATTTGTCTGTGGTCAGTATTTTAATTTGCAGCATAACAGTGTTGTAACTTGCATATAATTAAAGCACTGAAGACTATCAGACAAAGATTTACAAAACAGTTGAAGAAAGATATTTTTGAATTTTCCAAATAGAAAAGTATTTAGTTCAGGACTCTTAATATCATTTACACGGTGTACATATACTATTACACACACCTACCTACAGTTTCTTTATCTGTTAAAGTAGAAGCAGAAAACTAACTGAGAAACAGTACGAACACAATACTGGGTCTAAAGATACTTGTATTGCCATTTGTAGATCATCCATGTCTCCTGAGTTCATTAGGCTGAAAAACAAACAGCTAATCCTAATCCAGTCACCAGGTGTGACAGTATTCAGTCATTAGCATTATATTGAAGTTTATGGCCTGCTTGTGTCATCGGGAAGACAATGAAATAAGGCTTATCTGTTTTCAGATACAGACACTCAAGTAAATTAATGCACAAAGAAATGAAGTGTGAGGTACTTGCTACCATCACTGAGAAATTAATGATAATCTGTACTTAGTTAAAGCTGTAGTTTCACAGCAAAAATGAGTAAAGGCACTTGTATACAGAATCACAGAACTGTAGGTGTTGGAAGGGACCTCAGAAGATCATCGGGTCCAACCACCCTGCCAAAGCAGGTTCCTTACAGGAGGCTGCCCAGGTAGGCATCCAGACGGGCCTTGAATATCTCCAGAGAAGGAGACTCCACAACCTCCATGGCCAGCCTGTTCCAGTACTCCGTTACCCTCACCGTGAAGAAGTTCTTTTGCATGTTGGTGCAGAACTTCCTGTGCTCTATCTTGTGGCCATTACCCGTTATCCTGTCCCTGCAAACCACTGAAAAAGAGGTTGGCCAAATCCCTCTGTCTCCCACTGCTCAGGTATTTATACACATTGATGAGATCCCCTCTCAGTCTTCTTTTCTCCAGGCTGAACAGACCCAGGTCTCTCAGCCTTTCTTCACAGGGAAGATGCTCCAGGCCCTGTATCATCTTTGCGGCCCTCCTCCGTACTCTTTCCAGGAGATCCCTGTCTTTTTTGTACCGGGGAGCCCAGAACTGCACACAGTACTCCAGGTGAGGCCTGAACAGGGCACAGTAGATGGGGAGGATCACCTCCCTTGACCTGCTGGCCACACTCCTTTTAATGCACGCCAGGATCCCATTGGCTCTCTTGGCCACGAGGGCACACTGCTGGCTCATGGTCAACCTGTCGTCCACCAGGACCCCCAGGTCCTTCTCCTCAGAGCTCCTTTCCAGCAGGTCATCCCCCAGCCTGTATTGATGCATGTGGTTGTTCCTTCCCAGGTGCAGGACTCCACACTTGCTCTTACTAAACCTCATTTGGTTTCTTCCTGCCCATCTCTCCAGCCAGTCCAGGTCTCGCTGAATGGCAGCACATTCACACCATAGCTAGTCTCATCATATCTTCTACTTAAACACCCTCAGAAGTCACAGACTTCAAGAGTGCAAGACCAGACACTTGGGCAGTTTGACCAAACACCAAGCAGAATGTTAATGAAACTGGAATCATCCAGTAAGCCAGGTCTGAACTGAATCTGACATTCTGTTCAGACAGACAACATATGCATTACCTGCTTTTTGTTCTTACTTCCAATCTGTTGGATAAATATGGAAAAGCATTTATAAACTGCACACTCTAAACAGACAAGTCTATTTTGTAATTAAACAAATCAAGCATCTCTGCAAGCTTTGCACAAGAAAAAACAAAAGCCTCATCAAATCTAAATATGAGCATAGATATTCTTGCATGACTTAGAGACTTAAGAGCTGATAAACAATAGCCTAGCTAGGTCTCTGTTTCACTCACCAATTTCAGTGCAAATATAAATGTAAGGTAAATAAAATATGATGATATACTGGAACGAATGGACTAAATTAATAAATTACTATTTCTTTCTCTGTTGTACATGAACACACCCTACCAAAAGCATTGCTCCCATTATGAATGCCAACCCTCTGGAACAGCAAAAATGTCCACATAGATGTAAGCACTATTCTCAGTTGTAGAGGACGTAGCAATAGCTGTAATAGTGGAACACAGCAAAACAAGGACAGTCCTTCAGTTTTCTTCATACAATTTCACACCAACTTACAGATATTTGTAAGGGAAAACAATGGAAATTAACTACTTTGATTATCGCTAAAACTGTTAGATTTGTCTCATAATAAAGAATTTAAATACAAAGTACAGTAGGTGTAGTTCCTTCTCTATATACTCCATAAATCTGCTTCTTCAATATACAATTCAAAAAAGCCCCTAATTGCTATTGCTATCATGATAAACATTGGAAAGTTCTGCTTGACCTTTTATTAACATTTTTCTATACCAATATGGTTCTTTTGCTACAAGCACCCTAAGGAATTATGAGAAATACTTTTTTCTGTAGTTTAGCCCATGTGCACTTAATAGGCTCACAAATATAATACCATTATAAAAAAGAAAAACTGCCAACACTGCTAAAAAAATTGTCATAACACTAAATTATTATATAAATATAAAAGGAGTATGTCTGTAAAATATTCACTCAATGAACATCCCAAGGTGATGATTTTGCTATGTTGTTTTTATTCCTGGGAGATCCATAACACATTCGGATATTCCACGTGTCACCACATGAATCAGGCAGTTAATGCATGTGCTTTTAGAAGCAGAGATGTCTTCCCAATAGAATGTGCTATAAAAAAAAAAAAAAAAAAAAAAGTTGAGATTCTGCGCTGCTTTGTCTGATAGGCATAATTTAATGTCTTGCTTATAGTGCTGCATCTTAAGGAAAAATGTGTGCTGTCCTATGTAGTTATTTACAACATATTACTAAATCTATGCAAATATGTTTCCCTGAGCTTGGTATTATATAAAAAAGGTCAACAATGTTTAAAATATTTTAAACCACATTCCCAATATATTTTGTATATAGCACTAATGTCCAATATACATATATATATCTTAATATATTTCCAGATTTTTCTATTAATTTTATCCTACTGTAGATTATTAAATAAATGCAGGGTTTTTATTGTTTTGGGGTTTTATTTGTTATTTTTAAAGACTGTAGAAATTTTCCTATCTAGCTATGGCTTTTCATTATGAACACTAACCATACATTTGTTAATAATGCATCGGTTAAATTACTACATACTATGTTGGCATTATTTAATAAAGTAAATAATAGTCAATATTCAATAGGTAGATACTCGTAAAAAAGTTGAGAGGGGAAAAAAAGTGTTATATTCTGCTTCCTATATGATTTACTCCATAATTTCTACCATTCATTTTTTTTCTACTAACTTTTAGACAGAAGATCCCCAAGTACCATTTATCTGTCTCCTTTTGCACTGTGTATTTCTCTGTCTTTTGGGAAAATTCTAGACATTTGATTACATTTACATAGCCTCTTCTCATTTTTACCTTTATATGCACATTGTTAATGACAATTTTTTCCTGCAAATGAAATTGTACCATTGATTATTAGTTTGTGAAAACTTGTGCATCTCAGAAAACAAGAGCAGTTTTAAAGGGAGTATATTTTTTTCCTCTTTTTTTTAACACAGGTTAGGGACAGTGTACACTTTCTCTACAGAAACTTGGTGTTGTATTTGAACTCAAGATTTCAAAGCTGAAACGTTCCTGTATGGGTAGGATACGTTAGATCTACTGAAATACAAGAACAATTTGTCAAGTAAATCATGTCTTTCCCAATTTTGCACACCTATGTTTTTAGTAATGTTCCACTAAACTGACATGATGCAAGTTTCACTTAAGAAAGGTGTAGAAAATTTCAGAAGTGGATACTACCTTACTAATTTTCTATAACATTTTAGCCCTGTAATGTCATTAATCTGCTGATGATTTAATTATCTGTGTGGAATTGGTTATTATTAGAGTGTTTTAATTTCTAATGTGTTTCAGTCAACTCTGTCAGGTTGTACCCTTCACCGGTTCACATCAGTTGCTTACTTTAATATTCCTTTCAGCAACTACTTCATTATTATCTATCCTCATTTTTCAAGTAGTAATAAGGGGTTTTGTTAATTACTTACATAGTTAAATTCTAATTACACCAAACTGGCAGAACTGTAGTTCTGAAATTCTATTCAGGGACATATTTCCCATAGAGAACAGCATGTATTTGTGCATGTGATAGTTTGTGTTTCCAAATCAAACAGTGTACCATGCAGGTAATTACTTCATCAAAACTGAATACGAAACCATGTTCAGCAGCGTAACGCAACTTAACCCTGTTTTCACTATACATATTTCCAACATTTCCAACATTGACTTCCTACTTTCTCACTAAAATACTCACTAGTACTTCCTCTGTTTCTTTCCTTGCTTAGTATGGTCTGTTATCACCTGTGGATTTGCTACATGTTCATTCACCTGAATGACAAAATAGCATGGTAATTTGGAAATGATAATATACACACGCAGCTGTGTTTAGATCTAGGATCATCCTGGTCAGTCAGCATTAGCTCCCAGTGAGCTTTTAAATGTACCAAAGTCATACAGAATATTGATAAAGAAAGCAGATGTTTAACACCATAGTCATACCAAGTAACAGCAATCAAGTATACTAACAAAAGAAAGCTCTCAAATCCTAGTACACACTCGACTTAAACAAAAACAAGAGTTTTTGTTTAAAACCACAATGGTAACAATGCAAATAATATCTACAACTGGCAGAAAGTTGTTATGAAATCGTTTCTGGGAAAATACTTCAAGTTGTGCCCATGATACTTGCCTAGAAGAATTAACAAATTTCTCCAGTAATAAGATCCTTACTCAACATTGGAAGTTAGTTTCTTAGTGTTATCCTTCAAATGTGTACATCAACATCACTGCAAAATTTCCCAAGGCTCATTGTCTCCACTTAACAAAGGTCAATATTTATTTTAAGGTAAGGGAGACCTGTGAACTACACTGCATATCTCTTCACATCATTTCCCCAATTCCAATAAAAAGAGGTATCTTTTCTATTATACTTCACACATTTTCCCCCATTGATACACAGAGAAGATGCGGGAGGAAAACTGGCAACATATGATGCATTAAGAACACTTTTCAGAAAAAAACTGTACGCCAAAAAAGAACAATAGCTCCAGCAAAGCTGCTTCACCTCGAGTTTCTTTGATGTATAATACTGCAGAGGAGGTACAAAGCCACATCTTTGATATTTGGGACAACTGTTTGCTTTCTTCAATACCAAATCTCCCCTAGCTATTATGACATTTTCATACCTCTCTAGCATAAAGGAAAAAACAAGCGGTACAAAATTTGCAAAGATTCCAGAAGTCTTTTTAAACAAAGACATTCAACAAAACTAAACATTATGTTTTGTAGAGGACTTAACCAACATCACCACAAGTGATAGATTGCCATATGATAAGAAGGTACCATTTTCAGACTCCTTAAGAACTAACCTGACAAATATGAACTTCATGTCATAACAAATTAGTAAACAGCTAATCATGTAAATTTGTCAGTGAAGGTATGGTTACTAGAATCTATTTGTATATTTAAATAGTGAGTCACTTTAATATCATTCCTCAATAGTAAACTAATTTAGCCAACTAATCCTGTTTATTTCCTAAATATTGTTCATTTCTATCAGTTGGATGATTTTTTTTTCCCAGACACTTACATAACAAGCATTAAAAAGATACATTCGGCAGCTACAACTGTTAACATAACAAAGGCTATATAGAATCCAGAGGTTATTGCATTCTCCCAAAAGTGTTTAAATAATAGCCTAAAATCTGAAGAATTACTTTAATACTTCAATAAAAATAACCCAATTCAAAGCATTTTCAAGGAAACAGAGCTCCTTGCTCTAGGCTACCGAATAATGGCTGAAAGAAAGTATATAGCTTGTCACTTCTGATTAGAGAACTGTGCCTCTGTGCTTTGAATGAGAGGCATGTCTGGTAATAAGAAGTGCAGATATTAAATTTAATAAAATAATGTGGAATACAATATATATGAAACCTGACCAAGTATAGCACAAAATGTAACATACATTACCCTGCTCAGTCAACTACTGTGGCCTAACATCTAATGACAGACTTAATTTCTATTTTCCAAGGAGACTACTACAAAAATACAATTTTCAGATTATACAAGTATTTTATCAGACTACACAAAAATGTAAGCAAAATTGCTTTACATATCTACATGAATATATATCAATAGCAGACCATTGCTAGACTACAAGCTGCTCAGCCCTAGAAGTCCACAAAAAAAATATTAGGTCTTGTAAATAATTAGTTACAGAGACCCTGATGCTAATATGTCACAGCATCATATTATCCACAGTGTATTTCTTTCTTTCCAGACATAGGGATACATTGTTTTGGGGGTTGGTTGCTTTTCTGTTCTTACTTTTTAAAAACACTATCAGGATACAATATTTACATGTTAAATATAAATAAGTTAGCTGCTTATAATTCGAGTATTCCAACAGAAGCCATAACAGCTTTGTCTTTCAATACATTAACCTTCAGCATGTATTTTCACAATTAAATAACAAGCTCCATACAGTGCTTTCCACTCCCTTTCTAAGATAGAACTATGCCACCTGTGATATGACACATAAGGGATTTTAAAACAATTCTAAGAGCTAATCCCAGTAAACCCAGAATTAAAGTTCTTGTTTCTATATTTCACTTTCAAAATATTTAGAACTTTGACAGATGTGACATTATGTTTTCATTAAAACAGCTGATTTCAAAATGCTGCACTGTGCAAAAACACCATAAACAGTTTATGATGAACTGCCCCACTCTTAATTAAAACAATAAATCCAGTGCACAATATTTGTGCAGCCTCTGGTTTGACCTTTGCCTCTTGCTATCCACTACCAGAGCTGCTGCCTCATTCTGTGCACCAGATGTAGAAGGTTTTAAACCATGATCTGAAAGGCAGTAAAGATAAAATAAGAGAAAATGTGCCATTACTCTTTGCAGTTATGATTAATTCAGTTCATATTTTACAATCTGGTTATGGAGTAAAACTGCAGACTTTACATCAAGTATTTGCCATTCAATACACCAAATGTATAAAAATGCCTGATATTTTAGCAAATGACACAAAGCTAATTCACAAACACCACATGAAGGACAGAAACATGAATAATAAAAAAAAAGGCATTAATTAGCTATCCAACTAAAAGAACAAAGCTGTCTCTGTCAAAGCCACTTGATGGTCAGTCTTGGCAAAAAAATGTACGTTACAAAAAAAAAAAAAAACACTTTCCCTTATCTCTCTACCACTTGATTTTAAGTTTAAGATTAAATTAGATTAAATCTAATTTTAAGATTAGATTTAAAGATTAAGATTAAAATATCCTTGAAATCTATCTGGTATACATGAACAGAAATCAAATGTTATTAACTACTATTACTACTACTATTAACTACTACACTGTAATTATACCAAATTTCTTGTATTTTCACAGAAACAACATTGAACGCAGAAACAACTCAAAGAGCTAAGTTTAGGAAATGAGCTAGGATCTGGAGTACAAGTTATTCTAGGAAGATATCTTACAGAAAATAAGACTGTAAAATCATCTAAGTTGGAAAAGACCTTCAACATTGCCCATTAACTTGAACTGCCAAGTCCCACCGCTAAAGCACATCCCTTAGTGTTCCATCCACACATCTCTAAAAAAGACTCCAGGGATAGGCACTCCACTTCCCTGGGCAGAACAGAAACATGCAGTTTTCATGAAAAGAGAAACAGATAAAACATGCAGTTATTGGAGACTTCAATATTTCCGTCTTTCTGTGACTCTTCCCACCTATATTGGTGAGACTATAAAAAAAGTTCACAATGAATAAGAACTTATAAATTAAAAATTGGATTATACTTCTGAAGATGTATTTAGAGTTTTACTTGCATTATCAAAAGTCTTACAGAAGTGGTTCTAAAAAAACTATGGAAAAATAAAGACATGAATTATTAAGAGAGCCAAGAATCTCTGATTTTTTAGCCTAACTCAGGCCAATGATTCTTCCAAAGCCTTCTAGACTTGGTGATTTTCCTGCTTCCATTTCCAGATTTCTAAAGAAAAGTGGGGGAAGTTATTGTGTTTGCCCAGTCACTGAAGTTGTTAGCTGATTTCTGCAAAGCATGAAATTCTTACAGAATATCTATGATGCAGGTATGCAAAGGGAGACATTTCACAGAAGCTCCTTTGTGACATACACAGTACTATACTTCTTAACAATAGTCACCACAGAGAGAAGTATTTACACACATTTAAATTTATCTGAATTCTACTGCATAAATATGAAGCCTATCGTAAGTGCTGCAAATTCCTCTTAATTTTCTTGGGTTGCTTTGTATACACTACAGTTTAATCATGCATTATGAGGTGAAAATTTCAGATCCTTGCTAGCTGATTGCTTCATGTGTAGTCTGAATATTGCAAATCTCAAATTCAGTGTGAAGTTTAATTGCCAAAATATGTCCACAGTTTAAGCATAATGGAATAAATGCCCACATCTGCTCAGAAAATAGTACACTTCTTAGTGTTTCCAATCATTTAAAAAAAATAAAATAAAAAAAAGTCTACTCCAACAAACCCCAAACTCAAAGAAAACAGAGGACAAATATTTTCTATATTACAAAACTTAATTTTCTATGCCAGCAACATTATTATTATAGAAGGCCTGAGTCTGAGTCATAATATAAGAATGTTTGGAGTTGACCTACTTATTACTCCTCCACAATTTTCATGGAAACTTTTAAAGATAAGCAAAAACTCTAACTTGCCATCAAGTAACTATTATTGCATCAAACAATTCTTGTGAAAACTCTCTCACAAATAGAATACGTGTTTTTTACACCAGATGTATATATTCACACACTCTATATATGTACCTTTTCCATCAGAAAAACAAAAAATTGAACTTTTTTCCTCACAAAAGTATGAAAACAGGAATACAGAGTGTTTTCTGGAATTGTTCTAACTGCTTCAGCTGCTGATCTGAGCAGTAGAACACCCTTGCAAACAATTTGGCCCAGGTGGTTTGTGATTGCTGTGCCAGTTGCAGACACTTTGTACAATGAGGTTCTGTAGCAACCATTAAGGCTGGGTGAGGGAAGGGAAAAGCATTTGGGGAAGAGAGTGATTTGATATAAAGAATGACTGAGACTTTTAATATAAAATAAAAATCAAAAAGCCAAAAAACATCACAATCTCTTTTTAGTCCTCTACAGGAAAATCTGGTTTGGAGAAGGCTTACTGTTATTTCATCTGCAACTTTTCTTCTGTCCCTACTGACACAGCAGGATCCCATCAGCCAGCTTGGCTATACAAGTAATATCCATGTTGGAGTACCAAAACCCCTGCAATTCTTTAGCCAACAAGGAAACTGGAGCCAGAATACTGTGCAGTTGGTGGGACAACTTCCAAATAGCTAACTAATCTTTAATGCTTTCACAATACTGAAATTATTTCTTCTAGCATATCAACAACATTTCATCAACAAACATTAAAATTCCATGAGGTGACTTTTAAGATGTAATTCAATTCTAACATAGCTTTTTCAAAGCAGAAATCTTGACCCCGACTGCAGCAAACTTACCTGTCAAGTTAAAGCTTTCTAATGAACAGATGAACATGTATAAGTGATGATTGTTTGTTTTTAAATGGACACTGACATGCAATAAACTAAAATCTGCCCTTCTTCTAAATATCTATTGCAAAGAAAGGGAATACCAAAATTTCCAAAAATCAGGTGTAAGGTTATTTGAACATTAACCAACAGCATATTTTCTCTAACTTAGTTCTCAGAAACACCTAAAACGTTTTATTCAAAACACTCAAATGTTTCAGGAACTTGCAAGTTTGGGCCCATAAAAACAGGTGACATTTGACAATGTTTCAAGACACAGAAAACGAGTTTTTAGAAGTATTGGGCAAACTTAAATGAAGGGTGATGCACAGGCTGTTATAACAGTACTTGCATGCCTACAGCAGAATAGTTCATCCTTTTAGAAGAAAACATTGTGTTACAGAGTATGTCACACAGGGCATAAAATTTAAATAAGCTTTAAATAGGAATTTTGCCTGAAGATCCATTCTACTCCAGGCTCTGGTAGATGCTTTTCTGAAGAATATTTTTGATTCCATGCAAAGATTAATTTGCCTTCCTTTTCCTTCCTGAAGGAAGCAGTTGGTCAATTTTGATGAGGTTCCTGGTGTAGACAGCCTCACAAGAAATGGCTTTGCATAACCAATTAAAGTAGCGGAGTTCTGATTCAGAAAATATTCTGAATACAGAAATTAATACTGGCACATCTATGTATAGAACACAGATTAAAATAAGGAAGTAGAAAAGAAGGCAGAACCCTCCCTACCCACCTTTTCAACCAAAAAGCATCTGCATGGTTTTCTCTGGTTGGATCACATTAACAGAGCATATTTGGGCAAGACAAGTTATGCCCAGACATAAAACGACCACAACCAGCCAGCAGCAGCCCACCTGTGCAACAAATCCAGAAGCAACCAAGATCACTCCAAACTTAAAGCCACAACCACTTGAAGAGCTGAACAAAGCTACACAAAGGCTTTAAAGTAACATCAGTCTCTGAATGGTATTTCCACTAGGTCAATCAACAGTCAACCAGCTGGAAATTATAATTACAGATTCAGCATGATGTAGAACCACAAGACCACATTCTTATAACACTTTATGATCCTTTGAAAGAAAGAATGAAACACATGGAGATAAAAATTTGCAAATTCACCCTCCCAATCAAAACACTTCCTGCTTTAGAGTTACCTTTCCTATACCACAGTACTCTCAATATTTCAATAAAGAGAAATTAAATTTCATTTTGCAGAGAAAAAAAAAAAAAAATAAAAAAAGTAGAAATTCACTTTTTTTTTTTTTTTTTTTTAACATCAAAGGAGCCAATGAACTGCTCAGGCTTTTTTTTAAACTAAGCTTTGGCTTTTAAGAGCTGTCAGTCTTTTCAGGATTTCAGCTTACTTCAGCAGAACCTGCACATGCTTAGAACCCTAAAAAAAAATAAAAAATAAAAATATAAATATTTTCTCCAAGTCATATTGCAATTAGAGATGTAGTCTGGACTGCATGGTACCTGACTTTGCTTCTAAATTGAGAAAACTTAAAATCAGTCATTCAGATTACTAAATTTAAAATAGTCATAATAACTACTTGCTGAATAACAAAGATCACAAATGTTACTTCAGTTCTTACATTCAGAAAGAGGACATCTGTTTGTCTTCAGCAGAGACATTCTGTTTGAAAAGTGCACACAATATACTATTAACATTGCCAGAAACAAATCTGTAATGAGATCGATGTTTTTAAAGTTCTCCTAGAACTAGTAAGATTTAGCATTTTACTTTAAAATAAAATTAATTTCTGTAAAAGTGTATTAACAATCATATATTAACAGGGTATTAACAAGTGTATTAACAATCATTGACGGACATTAAATGTGCCCAATAACATAACAGTTCTGAATTATATATTTCCAAAGTTCTTCTACTTTCATACTTTCTTATTTATCTTGACTCTGAATAGCAAAGATCTGAAGAACTGGAAAAGAGAAGATTATGAAAAATAAAATATATGCTTGAGTCACGCTATTCTTTAACCTTCTAACATAGATCCTGCAAGAAAACTGGGCATGTGAAGATCAGCATGTGAAAGATAGCATCCATTAAGGTTTATGCTGCAATGGCTTCAGGTTTCATGAATAAAAAATATGAGTTCAGTCAAGAAAAGTGGTTGCATAAAATTTAAAAAGAAATACAGTAATCATGCAAGGTCTAAAAAGTCCACGTTCCTTTGCACTCAGTTACTGCCATTTACCTATTATTAGAGTAAGAAAAGTATTTAATGACTATTTTTTTAATTTCAAAGCAGACATGAGAAAAAATAAGTAAAAAGGTATCTTGATGAAAATCTAAACTTTGAAGACTATTATACTCAGGTAATGGGTCTTTTCTCACTGGAAAATGTATGTAAGGCATGGAATGGAGGAACTTAACCAATATCTTCAATGCCTTCTAGCTCAGTAAATGAAAAAGTATCTGTAGAGGTAAGAAATCTGTATTGTAAAAAAAGGACTAGGAAGAAAGAAAATTGATTTTTTTATGGCCTACATAACAGAGTATTTCTTCTGCATTCAGTGGATGAATCCCAACATCTAATCTAAACAACACTGATGTTCCCCTAAGAGCCAACAAGCGTTTCCAGTGAAAACAAGTTTACCTACTTTAATGACAATAATCCAAAATAGCATGCCTCATATACAGATGATGAGTAGTATAACTCTTTCGTTCTCCCTGCTTGATTATCAGTGTTAGCAGTATTCTGGAATGAACTGATATACACTGGGTACATCTGCATACCCATGCAAAGTCTTCAGGGCTCCAAAATATATCTACACTCAGATTTGTAGAGGTTGGTAAGTGATTAGTTGGCAGACGTAGACGGTCAATTTAAAAGCCCAGCTCTGATAAGACTATCTGAATGAGAGTAAACTCTAGATTGCACAGAGCAGGAATCACAAAACTTTGTAAATGAAACAGGTATACCTTTCTGATAATGTTATCCACTGACCATTTATCACATTTATATAACTGTAAAAAATCTTCCTTTTTAAGGCTAAGGAAAAGGAGTTCTGTTTACTAAGCTGACTAAACAAATATTGAATTTATCACTTTCCAGTGTTTTCATAACTTTCTTTTTTTTTTTTTTTTTTTTGATTATTTACGTTATGCACTGAAGCTACAGCAGTTCTAAATAAGACAAAAATTTTGCATTAATGTTGTGAATAAATTCTCCCTAATGAACAATCAGTACCTTTAGGGTACAAAGGAAATCCCAAATATCATGCTTGGAACTACTATATGATTTGAAATCTGTGAGCATTATTCAAGGAAAAAGCCCACATTTCATGAAGAATTGTTCTCGAGTTATACCTGAGAAAAACTTTTTTTTTTTTTTTTTTTTAAGCAGAGGCTTTAGGATATCATTCCTAGACTAAATCAGTTGAAAAATCAGTACTACTACACATGGAAAAGCAATGATTAAAAATAAATAAATAAATAATCCTACAAAATGAGCTGTATTTCATCTTTATAAGAATGTCTTGGTAAATTCCACCACTGAGATACTGGAAGAAAGAAGAGGGATAAATCTCCATCCCATTTTTATGTCTTTCCCAGTGCCATTAAACTATTCTCCCTCTCTTTTTTTTTTCCTTTTTTTTTTTTTTAATTGTGGTATCACCACTGGGAGCAGGTGCCTTGAAGTGGAGGCACACACCAAGCCTGACCTCCCTGTGAACAGCTCTGAATACCCTGATCTTGTTATGAATATTTTTTCTTCAAGTGCAAAGCTGCAAAATGCATGAAAACTGAAGTAATTCAATTAAGTATCTATTCTGAGCTGGAAAAGACCATTTTGTTAGAACCAGCGGAGCACTAGTTTAACCCTGGTGCTCAGAATTCCCAAGCAAGTCAGCACATTAAGCCAGCTCTTCAACTTAAGAACAATTACTGTCATTTATCAGCCTGAATAGCAATAATGCACAAATCGACAGCTTTCAAGAGGCAAAGAGTGAACTAGGTGTAATGATATGCAAAGCCACAGCACTCTACATTTTGAACTGTCTTCATCCCATCAATACATCTCCAAGTACCTACAATTTATCAGCACAAATGTGGTACCCAATGAAGGCAGGACCAAAAAGATAAATATGAACAGGGTGGAATAAAAGGTTTGAGAATGTTTGAATTTTATAATGATGAAGTACAGATCACAATCTTACAGCATTTCACATGCAGTGACCTGATCACATCACATTTTATTCAGCAAGAGGAAACTAGGATAAGAGATAATCTTTCTTTCAGGCAGTTGTAAGCAGCTGCTCTGCTTTTTTTTCTTCTCTTTTCTTGTTTCTACTCTATATTTTCCTTTATTTCTTTTTCCACTTCCATTTCTATTTGAATCATGTACCTATGCAGCAGTTATATAGTACAGTTACTTTAATTGAAATATATAATTAACAATATCATTGTTTTTATCTCAAGAAAGCACAATATATACAGAAGTCATCACTTGAGTCTCTCTACCTCATAAACCCATTTTAGCTATTGAAGGTTTAAAAGAATACATTGGAATTACTGAATAGCATATATACCAAATGGCTTTCTGCTGATGACAGGCTCAAGAATACAGTACTGATTTCATCTGTACCTAAGCTAACTGTGGGGGAAAAGGGGGGGGAGAGGTGACTTTTTTTAACATAAATAGCTCTGTTCTGAATGGAACATTTCAGCAACTAGAGCTATTGCAGCAGTTAAAGGCATTCAGCTTCCTCTTCTCATATAGGGCTTTGCAGGCAGGGACAGGCATTTGGATTACAGGTTAACGTACAAAGAGAATAAGGACATCTCTATGTTCTACCACAAGGAAAAAAAAAATAGGATTGTCATTATTTCACCTGAAAGTCTGGCAGTTCAGAAACTACCTGGAACTGCTAGTTTTATGCCTTTTAATTTTCCTTACTCTCTGATTATTACAGCATGTAAACTACTACATGTAGTCCTATCCTGAGTCAAGATTCCAAAATGTTCACTTGAGTTAAACAATTGCATGGGAATGTATTTTGCACAGAGGATCTCACTGTGCAAGCTATTTTCCTGAACTATGTCCATCTTCCAAAATTTAATAATGTTATAGAAAGTACTAAGATGTTCAGATAGATGAAATGAGATATAAGGAGAACAGAAAGTGGACTTTGCCAAGATAAAACAGTTTTGTATTTAAAGGATAGAGATCAAGAGGCCTGAAGTTTATTCCTAGCTTTGCTAAGGATACTTCATGTATAATTTTGAACACATCACTAAAACCCATGCTTCCTCGGTTCCCAGAGACAGCTCTTTTTCTAAACACAGAAAATAGCTACTTCAGGGGACAGATGACAGTTATTGATCAATGGAAAATAGAACATCATGATCCATGAACATCTGTGTGGTATTCCTCTGCAGAACTCTGGAACAATATTGTCTTCAGCCTTCAGAAGACAGAACTTGCACAGAGACACAATACATCATATGATATAGCTCACAGTTGAGAGGGGTTAGCAGAAGCTTTCGTATTATTTAAAATATGATTTTAACAAGAAATGCAATTTCCTCCTGTTCTATCTCTCTGGAATTCATTCACCTACCTTTAAATATTGGGGGGGCAGGAGGAGGGAGGAGGAAAGTTAGTTATATTCAAGTGCTCCAGGTTTGTTTTTCACATTCCTTTTCATTCCCACTGACAACTTCTTTTCAACTTCTTTTACCAACTTTTACCATCTTACCATGTGGGCTCATTACAGTTTCCTAAACCTGTAGGTTTAGTAGCTAGTAGTTTTTATGACACCCTAGGTTACCAGCTGCTGAAAAAGGTGCAGGTTTCCTAGAGATTGAGAGGACATCAACCCACTGAGAATACCTTAGAGATCATCAAGATGTCTCAAATGGCAGAAAATGTCATAGCATGGGATGAGCTAAGCCTAATGC